TGGAAAAGACCAGGACCGGTTAAGCTAAACGGGACTTAATTAGGTGTCCAGTCTGTATTTAATTGGGTGGAAACCAGGACAACGTGTGATGGATGTGAACGCGGCTTTACAATCAACAATGTTTACCTGACTGGTTTTGTTTTTTGTTTTTGTTTGTTGTTTTTGTTATATGTTCATAAAACAAAATAAAAACTTTAATTTAAAAAAAAAAACAACTCAAATATGAATCTATCAATAAATATACTTATCTATGTGTTAGTTATAACAGCTAAATGGAATATAGGCAGGGAACTTAAAGAGTTTTTAACCTCAAACCACATTAAACAGCAAAATGGGGCAAAAACTGTTAGTTTACACTTCTAAATCTTTTTTTCTCCACAAGCACTTTTCTTTTCTCCACAAAAAGCTTTGATTCTGTTTCATATCTCTGCTTCAGGGTTATTCACATTAATCTGCTACTATTTTAAGAAGGAAACTTTGAATGCATTTAGCCTAAAAACTTGGATATTCCTCAGAAACTCTTTAACAGACTCTTAGAACCCATTCTGTCCCTTTTGTTTCCTTTTATTTACTTGTGCTTATGTCCATTAGTGTTTGCTAGTTATTAGATGAAATAATGCTGTGTGATTTTTAGCTAATTAAGCTACCATTGAATTTTAACCAGTAGTCTTTTGTGGTTATTTTATGAAGGGATTCACTCAGGTCAGAGTCAGAGATGGTTTCTTTGGTTTGGTGATAAAGTACTCTGCTGATAGTCTAAATACTAAATACCATAGTCTAAATTACTAAATTGGTGAAGAGAACTAGATCTTAACAGCCAGTCCAGGACTTCAACCTTTAATTTTTTTATTTTGATTTTTTAATTTTATATACTCTAATAATCCCAGAGGGAAATTACTTCTCTGCATCTAACCCATCACCTTGGTGAGCAGTGGGCTGCCATTTTGTGGCGCCTGGGGAGCTGTGTTGAGTTAAGGGTCTTTCTCAGGGACCCAGAGTGGCAGTCTGTGATAGTGGGGCATCAAACTCACAATCTCAGGATTCCCTTACCACTAGGCCACCACTCCCCTTTATGTAAAACACTAAGAACCCTAGGTTATAACCCTGTTGAATAAGCAAATTACATTCATAATTATTTTAACTATTCATTAAGAATCAGTTTTTTCTTAGATTCTAATGACCTATTAATTAACTATAGCTCCCATTTCTAGTTATTTAATATATTCATAACTTTCTGGTAAGCTGGCACAACTACAAGCTTTCTTTTATAACTCAAAAACAGCCCATATTTTTATTTTTATGTTGAATTAAATTCCCAGCATCAGTTGTTAATCATACTTCATGTATTCTATAATGTGTATGTGGATGATTGGACATTTAATTTGGTTCTGTTGAAGTTCACTTTAAAAATCTGATGTTTTAAAAAAGAGAAAAAATAATGTTTGCATTCAGAAAAAATGACTTAATTCTTTATATTTTCTGTTTCAATCCTTTTTCTTGATGAAGGCTATATGTTATTCATTGGAGAAATTTCCCTTAACATGGAGACGTCCACAATTTTATTTGTACAACTTTTTTCTTTTTTTTTTTTTGTTTATTTGTACATTGTGATTTCAAAGATCTCTTCTATCTATTTTATCTACAGCCTGATCAGATTTATCTGCGTAAATGTTACCCTAATCCTAAATCAGCTATATATATCTGTAATGTATTAACAGAATAAACATATCTAGCTGTGGTAAAATGTGGTTATATGAGGTATTTCTAAGTAAAAAAAAAATGCTTAAAAGTTTATTTGATAATTTATTTCAAAGTCTAAAATTCATTCACCAGAACTGTATATCTTTTCTTCTCAGCCACACCTTAAAACTTCAACCTTGGTACTCATTACATGACTTCCTGTCAGCAGACACTACTGATTATTGTTCTTTTTTTATTCATTTTCACTTTGCTTAGAAATTACATTTTTGGAAGGTTATAGCAGGTCCCAGATTTTAGGAGTATGCAATAACTCATTATCCAAATCCTTTTTTTTAAATAAGTATTCCTTAAATAAGGAATTTTTCAAAGGACTTATAATTTCACAACATAATGTTTTTAACCTCTTCTATCTCTATTAAAGTGAGTCTTGAGGGTGGGGTCATGGTGCAGCTCCTGTTGCTACAATGATTAAATAGTAACCTTATAAAGAGCAACGGCTGATAAGCGAATGCTCTTATACAAATCAGCCGGGGTGGACAAAATCAACTACCTTAGAGCAGAATTGCAGTCAGGATGCTTACGCTAGACTTCAGGACACTGACGGCACCTTTGGGCATTTTGAGGATCCTGGAGGTGATCTTCACATGTACCACTTTCAGCTTGGTTGCATCAGTGGGCCACGGCTTTGGCTCCTTTTGGATATGGTGCATGTTCACATGGTGCTTCTGCTTCTGTGTCACCATCCTCATTTTGGTCTTGGAATTCACCAGCCTCAGCTCAAAGCTGCCCATCTCCTGGCGTGATTTTACAACCGCATTTGTCATGCTGGCAACTCTAATGGTGTGTACCGATTACTACCAGTGTCCACTCTCTCT